CCCCCCCCTTCCCCTCAAGGACTCATCATGCTCAATGAAGTTTTCCCTACCATCACAAGGATCGACTCGGATCCATTTGTGATGACCTAAGCCCGAAGATTGACCCAACAACTTCTAGTTCAACTTAAAATGATGGTTAAGGAGCTCACAAATCTACATTTCTATTTATGTGGGACGGGTTATTACATCGTGAGGCAGTGGTCAACCCTCTTCATAAAACCCTTATACTAAACCAATTTGGGTACTTCAAGAAACTGGGTTAGCGATGTTCTAACAAAACCACTTCAAGAATCATAAATTGACCTTGCATACGACAAGTTGGCATGTCCAAATAGATGCTCCACATGAGGAGTTCTAATCAATGCGAGATATTTACATAGTTCAGAGTTCGGTTCTTAGTATTAATTTGGCGCATTGACCATGGTAGTACTCTATATATAGATGATTAGTGAGAATGCCTTTTAACAAGCTTGAATTGTTATTTATTACTAAAGGGAGAACCATGTATAAATAGAATACATGAAGTAGGATCATGACAAAGAACAATTTATAACTATTCATACACCAAAAAGTAACATACATTATAATTTTAATAGTGTGGAGTTCCACAATAGAAACAGATCTTACCTGAAGATAGGTGAGTCGATTAATGTGGTTCTGTTCACAAATTCTATAGATCCTCCAACATCACAAGTTATATCACAAATCCCAACAAGTGGACAGCCTTTACATAGTAGATCCTGTAGCTGCTTGGAGCTCAATAAGCGAGGATATCTTCTCTCCCAGTACATGCAGTTAACTGCTTAAGGTACATAACACCATTTAAGTATGTGAGGCAGACATGATAATACTAAACAACTCAATGACTGGATGGACAGATTAGGAATGAAACACGATGCAGATGCACAAACAAATTAGAGAGACGTGACAAGTTTGATGAAGTAAATATAACAAGTGAATCAATTGACAAGGATAAAACCATTTGAATAGACAAGTTGGGCCTCTTAAAATGAACATATATCTATGTCTTTAGAAGGTCCTTGCTTTCATATGAGGCATCCTATTCTAGAGCACACAATCCTAAAGCATGTGCACCATTACAGGCTTGCAGTTGGTCTTTTAAGCCATCACAAAAAAGCCACATGCGTCCTTATCACTTGATATAATCCTCCAGATCCTTCAGTTATTAGATGCTCTATTTTCTTATCTTGCATGTCCAATTAAATTACCCTTTTGTTCTCACAACAGTCAAGGAAAGTAAACTCATAAGCTCCGAATTAAATAAATTGACATGAACACAAAGAAAGCTATATTATTAGAATTGAAAAAAGCAGCATTCGAGATCAAGATTATTGTACATAAACAAATTGCCTCCAAAGTAGAATCTCAATGAAAGTAACCATTCTGACCATTTAGTATTTCATTTTCAAGTGAATGGAGAAATGCCTCAGCCCTTAGATGCACCACAGAACTGTAGCCTCAGTTTACTATATTAGTTAGTGTGGTTATCTTATCCTTTTATTTAACAAAAATGAAACAACTGGGCTGGAAAGATTGTACTTCAAATAACTTTTACAAACCTATAACAGATGCATACGGAGCAACCTTCTCGTGAAAAATTGGTCTGTAGCGTTCAGGGTGTGCATAGTAATCAACCTGGAACGGAACATCTTGTGGTTAATATAAATTGCATAAAATATTCATATGGGGTAAAGACAGTGTTGTTATTCTAGCACCAGAGAAAAAGGATAACCCCTCCCGAAGTTCTAGAATAAATTACAATAACAACAATAATATTAACCAAATGGTAATGCTTTATACTTGAAATCTTATACTACACAAAAGGATGCTATTTTGCTTCGCTAGATGCCCTATATCATTAGTAAGTTTGCAATGCCAGAACATGCACTCACATTAGAAGGCACGTGCACAGAACTTTTTGAGTTTGTTCACACCACAAGATTGGGTGTAAGGAGTCATTATGTGCGTCATGTAGATTTTGACCACCAATACAAGCATAAGTTCGTCATCAAGTGACAAATTATGCCTCTTGTAAATTTTAACGACCACCAATATGAACAAGTCCATCATGGTTTACTTGCACAAAGGAGCTTATTCTTTTTTTATATAACCTCCTCTCATAAGTATCAACCTAACTAGCACACCAAATTATGATCATCGGCCAATGCTATTCAGTACTGCCATTACAAATGTCTTCACTTGATCACTTAGAGCACTAATATGGGAAGGCACTAGGATCTAGCCCCTTGTCATCATGCTTCTTGTTGTTGGTGTTTTCGCTAGACAATAATAATATTGTTTTTCCTTCTTGTTGGTATTCTCCTTGTTTGCTCCCCTCATATTTGTATTAGAAAAAGTTCAACTTTTCCTTTTCTGTTATCCAGAAATAAGTTTCAGGAATTCTACATTTTGGATCATGAAGATCAAGAATAAAAGGTTCTTAGTGGAAGGATTTTGCTCTTCTCCACGCTCACGCCATGAGGTGACATTCTCCTTTCAAGATGCACAGTTTTACTCCTTATTAATCCATGTTCCAATACATTCTTATTTATTTCAGTTTTTAGTTTTGCGGGTAGATATCACTTGGAACATGTTTCACAATGGATTTGTTGGGTATAGAAGACTACTTGAGTAGATATTTTGATCTCAATTAACCCAATCAACTAAGTTAAACCCCAAAATCTATAGTTTACATTCGAAGACCAAAAAAAAACCACGTTGTTTAGCCTAGAATAAAAACTCCTTAATCACCTCTTTCCTTGCAAAGCAAAGATGTAGAGGAACTCTATGTATGCATTTTATCAGTGGCTCTTTTTCACTTCAACGCGTTGTGATGTTAGCATTTTTCACATCTCTTCGCAGGTTAGGTGGGCATTATTATTACTCATCAATCTGTTTCAGTATTTCAACTTTCTTGTCAGATGTCTAAAGCATAAAGAGTTGAGATGGATGGTTTAGTAGATTCTTCAGAAGTAATAAAGTTACTCAATAATCCAACAGCAAAGAAATGGAAATATATTCAAGCAATGGAGCGATATCAATGCAACGTGAGGAAGAAGAAACTTAAAATCAATGTTACGTACTTTATGAAAAACTTCAAAAGGGTCACTATGTTCAACCATGTCTTCGCAAGTCACAACACAGCCATACACTTGGAAATCTCGTCTAGATGCATGTCTGGATTCAGGAAGATCCCCTGCCTATGCAACATGAGTAGATACTACCACCATAAGTCAAATGTGATGTGATTACCTCACATTCTACAACGGTGTACATTAAAAGATTTGAAGAAAAAAAGCAACAAAGGGTGGTAACAATTGGCAATAGGAGGTTGTGTTTCTTCCCCGTTCCCCATATCACACACAAACAAATAAGAGAAAAGAGATAATAAATAAGTTCAACATTACCGTGTCAAATAGTGCTGGAAGTCTACTTGAATCCACAAACGTATGAGGAAGAAGCTTGAATATTTCTTGTGCACCAAGAGAAACTAACATGTAAATCCAAACTAAATTACTGAAACATACAAAATGATGTGATAAGATTCAAACTAACAAAATACTTTAACAGCAAAAACACAATCATACATGAAAATACTTGTAAGGTTTGCTAATAACTTACACCAGCCAAAAAGTACCCTTACCTGGATCGAGTGGGTACGCCTGCAAGTGTACCTGTGAGTTTAATTTTTTTTTTTAAATTAACTGCCTAGAGCAGAAAGAAAAGTGACATGTAGTTCTCTCTCTCTTATTGGTCACTCCTCCATAATTATCAACCCACAGCTTACCAACCATGACCGTCATTCCAAGTAGACTTGATTTTTTTATGTTTAATTTGGTAGAGCATGCCTGGCTTCTGATTTTTAACATAAAAAAAGATATTGTGGGTAATAACCATGGAGTGCAGATACAAATACCAGGTGATGAAGATAAGTACCCAACAAACATGAGCCATACTCACTGTACCCACGGATGCACCCAACTCGATCCATTGACAAGTAAATCACCATATCGTGAATTTTAACAATGCTAAGTAGATATAGATATATGTGTGCGTGGTTATAGAGCTGTGCATTGGGTGTGTGTGAGAGAGATCACTAAATCTATCATTTTTGGAGTATGGATACCATTTCCAGAACCAGTGAAAACAAAAACTAGAGGGCAAATTCTTGAGGGCAATCCTGTAGTAGCTATCTCTTCACCCACAGAAACAACTGCAGCCTTGGCAGCAGCCAGTGATGGATACATATAAGATGAACCTAGTGAGAGGAACGGAGTAGAATATCCAAGACTGAGATACCCTGAAAAGGAATGGGTAGATAAATCATTAAATTTGGTTACTAGTGAGTTACCAATAAATTCCACATTATGCAATAAACTAAAAAAGTTGCATAACAACTCATTAATTCCAAGCCTATTCATAAATTTAGTTGTCCATTTGGAGAACATATCTAGCACCTTTATTCAGACTATAAAATAAAGTAGGAAGCATTCCTGAGACCATAAGAAAAACTGCGATGCTAACGAAGTTACATAACAACTCAGTAATTTCAAACCTATTCATAAATTTAGTTGTCCATTTGAAGTGTATATCTAGCACCTTTTTCAGACTATAAAATAAAGTAGACAGCATTCCTGAGACTATAAAAAAATGTTATACTAACAAAGTTACATAACAGCTCATTAATTCCAAGCCTATTTGTAAATTCTGGTATCCATTTTGGACTGTATATCTAGCACCTTTATACAGACTATAAAATAAAGTAGAAGCATTCCTGAGGATATAAGAGAAATTGTGATATCCTCTTGATTATGCGCATGATAGAAAATAGGTTAAGGAGAATCAGTATGGTTTACTTCTCTCATTTATGCTTTCATCCCAAATTAATCATCACCATTTTTATTTTCAGTTATCCTAAAATAAATGTCTCGATTCCCAAACTAAAAAATACATCACAAACACAACTACTCTATATGATTTATTGTTAACGTGAGGTTCATGCAACTACACCTTACGCTTCCAAGCACTCGGCCACTAAATAACGAGAAAACCAATAAGTAAACCTTATAGAATTTTTAAGGAATACACGAATAAGGGATGAATAGAGTACAACAGTTGATTTCGTGACATGGGTAACATTTTTTCTAACTATGCTAAGCATACACATGTGACATGAAGCAGATTATAATGAAGCAAACATGAAAGGCATCCTCTGCAGCAGCAAATCTGCTGGAAAGGTCCAACAACTTTAGTAACTTCCACTAGTTTATAAATATAATTATTGTTTTTATATTACACATCAGCAGTTAGAAGAAAATTATAAATAATACTATTCATCTTAGAAGAATTCAAGGTAACATTCTTTCAGTTCAAAGTTTGTTGTGCTTTACGTAAAGAGCTCTCTACCTCTCAAGCAAAGAATACGGTCACTATACTCGATCACGAAATTCAGTCCAAAATCCTGTTCGATTGAACTTTTGACCCTTTCTGATGTACCCGTAGCTATCTATATGGTTGACTTAACACATTCTGGCCAATTTTAAGAGATCAATTTACACAGAAATATATATATATTATATATAACTCCAGAGATTTTCGTCAGAGGCACACCAACCAAAGCAAAATATGAAAGGCTTGAAATTTAACACCATAGCAAGTATGTGTTACGAATCAACAAATGGGACCAAAGAAAGGGAAGCTGGGAATCGTATCGATACTGCAAAGAGAAGCTTACAAACAGAAAATTAGGGGGTGATTGGTTCACATAATGGAATTTGATGGAATTGGAATCCATCAAATGAATTTGACTTTGAACGAATTGGAATGGAATTTGACCACGCGCTTGGTTGGTAGGAGTTGGAATGAAATCACTCAAAAGAATTGGAACAATCGTCTTTGTTTGGACTATCGCGCCCATCGCCCCGCCCCACCACTCCTGCCCCACCCCTGCTCATTTGGGGGCAGGCAGGGTGGGGCTAGAGTGGGGCAATGGGTGGCAGGGTGGTAGCTGTGACGACTACAGTGGTAGGATGGTGGTTAGTGGTGGGTTGGAGTAAGGTAAGGTGGGGCGGGCAGGGGGGGAGGCGGGACAGTGGGGTAGGTAGGGGTAGGTGGTGGGGTGGTAGTTGTGACGATGGTAGTGGTGATATAGTGGTCAGGTGGTTGGGCCTGGAAGTGNAGTGGGATAATGGTCGGGTGGTTGGGGCCTTGGAGTGGGTGGGTATGACAACAACAATAGTGTCATGGTGTTTAGTGGTGGGTTGGGGTGGGGTAAGGTAGGGTGCAGGTGAGTGGCGGTTGTGAAGGCGACAATAGTGGTGTGGGGTGGAGGGCGGGGCGGTGGGGATGGGTGGCGGGGTGGTAGCCGTCACGACGACAGTGGTGGGATGGTGGCCAGGTGGCTAGGTATGACGGCAACAGTAGTGGAATGGTGGTTAGTGGTGGGTTAGGGTAGGGTGGCAGTTGTAACGACGACAATAATGGTGTGGTGGTGGGGGTTAAGTTAGGGGCGTGATAGTAACGGTAGTAGCATGGTCGTAATAGGGATGTGCAGTGAGTGACCGGGGGTGGGTGGGTGTGATGACAACAGTAGTGGCATGGTGGTTAGTGGTGGGGTCGGTTGGGTGGGTGGGGATGGGTGGAGGTGACAGTAGTGGGTTAGGGGTGGTCCATGGACGAACAATAGTAGCATGGTCGTGATTCAATTTCTTCCATTATGCCAAGGAATGATGAATTCATTAATTTGTGAAATTCAATGGAATTTGAATGATTCCATCCATTTCAAGAAATGAACCGAATTGGAATTTAGTCAAAGGAATTTGTCATTCCAATTCCATCAAATTCCTTCGAATTCCGCGAACCAAACGTCCCCTAAGTGGGCTACTAGCAGCTAGTCCTCCCCATTGGAAAACTTAAGTAACTTTTGCATACCCCTCCTATCACCAGACCAGCCATTTACACTACTAGAACTATCCTAGATTATTCTAGGTATGACTAAATTGCCCTGCTACTAACAGAAATCCCACCAGCCTCTGGTGGTTAAAGAAAACACTTTAAATAAGAGGATATCTGCCTATATGGAAAACTAATCAATATCCTTAAGTGTGAATGCAGCCTTTCACCATCACATCCTCCTCAAATAGCCAAAATACAAAAGAAAACTGAATAGTAATAACCTACAAATGCCAGAACAAAGATTGAGTTCATGCTACTTACTTCGTCCCAATCCACTTAAGTAGTCAACAAGTCCAGCTCTACCAGCAAACTTGCCAAATGCAAGTAATCTCTTTCCTTCATCTCCAACTATGAGCTCGTAATCAAACAAAGATGCTCTTTCAGCCAAGATCTACACATCATACAGAATGTTAATAACACCAGACCAACCATTTTAAACATGATGGTGTGTTGGAGAAAGAACATCATACTTTATCTAGCAAATGCATGTTCTCTTTCTGTGCCTTGTGAGTATGGGAGAAAAACGCATACGCTCTGTCAGGAAGGATCATTTCCAACTGCAGCAAACACCAACCATTATTTTGTAAAATGACTAACGCTGTCATGTAAGAAAACAACCATCTGAAATAACAGCACCTTAGGTTGCTTGATACCCAATATGAGACCACAGTCAGATAAATCCTCAGAAATCTCACAACCGACATCCTCATAAAGTGCATCATGATGTATTCGCTTTGTCGATGGTTGGACAACAATCCGTGCCACTTCCATTTCACCCTTGCCACTGTGCAGAAGTCTAGCACAGTGTGCTGGTGTTAGAGGAGCCCTTCTTTCCCACTTGTTTGTAGACTCTGAAAGAATCCCGATAACTCCATTGCCAAGCATGATAACTTCAACTTTCGTTCCCAGTATTCTCTATATCAAATATATTTGGGATCACTTTGTTATCAATGTTTTAACCATATTGATCACCTTTCATAATTTGTACATATTCAATAAAAGAAAAAACGAAGCAGCATGTAACTGTATATATGGAGCATGGGAAGAAGAAGTAACTATGCATTAAGAGGGTCCAAATTTCCAAAGAGGGATAGGTGTATTCTACGACCGATACACTTAACCCTGAAACAGTTAAACCCGGTAAAGGTTTAGGATAGGAAGTGACAATGTTATTACTGTTGAATAACACACATAGAGTCTAACAACAATGGTTGATAATCTGTTCATGCCGATAAAGCGATGATCTTGAAGCCAAGAAGCAACTTAGAACTAATTAATCTGTTATCAGTTATAGTAACTTACAGAGTTTTTGTGTAGGTAACAGAAAATCCAAGAGAAGGAACTATAGAGCTATGGATTTAAGAGTTAGAAAATAAAATAAAAAATGCATAGCCAAGCCAACCTGTTTTTTCCCTTGAAAGAATTACACAGGATGTTCTCCTCCAGAACGGGACTAGAAATGTTCTTGAGAAAAGGCAGTAAACATCGTTGGTGATTCATACTGACGTGTGAGTTTGGTGATGAAAGGGACGGGTCCCAATCCCAAAAGGAGTTTGAGATAAAGATGATGACCATAGACGTGAGAAAAATGATGTACTACAAGTAACATGGGTGTGTTCTTTCAATAACTCAACGTATAGTTGCCAGCTGTTGGATGATTCACGTGACAAAACCATCTTTATCATCAAAACCCAACCCCACTTCAATATTTTAAATTGGCTAGTAGTCGTTTTGTGATTGCTTATTGTCATTAAGGACTAGAATTTGAGGACCAAGGGGTTTAGGGTTCCAAGACTACCAAAAATTGGATATCAACTCGGACGTATGAATTCTATATTTTAAATTTCATATTGATTTTTTTGTGACATTATTCACCTAGAAATTCATTATTTAAATAATTTATATTATCTTATAAAGCATTTGACTAAAACTCTTAAAAACTTTTAAACTCGTTCATCCTAAACGATTTCATCCCTATCTGATTTCTTCTCATATCTGAATTCGTGTAACTAACTGCAGATAAACACAATCAAATACAGGATAAACATCTCATTTTAAACATAAAAAATCTAAAATATAATTAGGATAATCATTGAGTTCTAACAAAATATTTAATTATTATCTTTATAAAATATTATATTATTAAACCAAAAATAAATTATTTTTATTAAACTTAAATTAAATTATTAAAAGAAATAATCTATGCTATATTATAAAGCATTTGACAAAAACTCTTAAAAACTATTTTTTATACGTAAAGTACTGTTTATTAATGYATATTACTTAAAACTCAAGATTACAAGTAGATTGTCGTAAGTACAACTTATTAAAGCTCCATATCTGAATTCGTGTAACTAATTGCAAATAAACATAATCAAATACAAGATAACATCTTATTCTAAATATAAAAAATCTAAAATATAATTAGGATAATCATTGAGTTCTAACAGAATAATTAATTATTATCTTTATAAAATGTTATATTATTAAACCAAAAATAAATTATTTYATTATTAAACTTAAATTAAATTATAATAAAAAAATAAATTAAAGAAATTGCATAAAAAATGAAAACTTTTAAATAGTTGATTTGACATTAATATTGATATATTTTTTTAAATTTTTTATGATATCTTCAAATTTATATTTTATTCAAATTTATATTTTATTCAAATTTATTAATATTGATTTGATGACGAATAAGAGGGATGTCGCTCATAATTTCTTTTTCGAGTACAATTGTGTTGGTAGTGAGTTGCATACTATTTTCTGGGTTGATGAGGTAGCTCGATTCAAATATTCAAAATTTGGAGATGTAATATCCTTTGATGCTACATTCCGAACCAACAGGTTCGTATATGCTGCTTTATATGAAAATAGCCTTTTTATAAATTTTAATTATTGACATGTTTATTGTTTTAGACATTTCATGGTTTTTGTTCTCTTCACTGTGGTTGACAACCATAACTGCAATGTCGTTGTTGGATCGGCTTTGGGTGGACATGAACATGTTCCAAATTACAAATGGCTATTGCAAGCATTTCGGAAAGCACATTCGAAGCCCCCTCTGATGATTCTTACCGACCAATGTCCTGCAATGAAGCAGGCGATTGCAACCGTCTTTCCCGATTCAAGACACAAGCTTTGTATTTGGCACATTATGAATAAAGTCCCCAACAAGGTTAGAAAGACAGAAAACAACTTATTATTCTATATCTTCTTTAATTGCTTACATATTTTATTTATTTGTAGTTTAGTTATGATCTTCTTAATAACACCACGTTTAAGAAACAATTTTTCAAGCTGGTATGGAACATTCACATATACCCTGATGAGTTTGAGAGTAAATGGATGGTTCTTATCGAGGAGTTCTCTCTTCAAGATCATCTGTGGTTGAAAGATATGTTTGTTCTAAGATCCCAATGGATACCTGCATATTTTAAAGAGCTTCCAATGTGTTGCCTCATGAAGACAACGTCCAGGTCAGTAAGTGCAAACTCATTTTTTTAACTCCTTTTCAAAGAGTGGAAACAATCTTTTTCAATTTATGTTGGGGTTTGAATTTGCATTGGAGAAACAACGTAGGGTACAACGTCATCTTGATTATCTCATGACGACTACCTTACCTAAATGGTTGACCTATAGCAAGTAGGAGAGGCATGCTTGTGATGTTTACAAACATTCTGTATTTTTTGAGGTGCAAACTGAGTTACACAGGGTTGTCCTAGACATGTTCAATTAAGAGTGTCAATGCAGACGAGGTAGTTGACACATATTTAATTGAACACTTAGACCAAAGAGACGATAAAATAGCAGAGTATAAGGTATGTTTGCATACAAAGTCATTTATAATTAGTTTTATATGTTATTGTTTTATTTGAACAACGTTTTGATTGTGATATTAGTTGATCCAACATTATATTATGGACAGGTTGTTCGTAATTTGAAGGAGTCGACCATTGCTTGCAGTTGCAATCACATTGGTCGACATGATTATCTATGCATACATGTTTTTAAAGTATTGTTAAACGTCGGTGTTGAATCTTTACCTGAAAAATACATTTTGAGAAGATGGAGACATGACCTTATGCCGCTTTCAAAAAAGTCGTCAAAGAATAATAAATGATGCATACGACGTTATCGATGATGTGTTGGACATATTAAGAGATGACAAAGAAAAACTAGAATCATTTGTGGCTACAATTAAAGAATTGAAGGATGATTTAGCCAAAGATCGTACATATGAGCCTTCGATGAAACGTAAGAGTGTGGAATAGAACAAATCAATGGTTTTCCAAGACCCGATAACATTGAGATACATCCCGCTACCGGTATAAGGAAAAGGTTGTGGTACGTCCAAAAGATTGATAGGTGCAGCCGAGAAAGCAGCAGTGAAGAGTAGTCGAACGAAGAGGATGTGTAGTGGATGCAAGTTGTTGTCTAATCATGATATCCGTAATTGTCTAGCGAAGAAAAAGTAGGACTATTTTGTATTTGATGTGTTCGAGCCATTTGTTTTCATATAAACTAGAAGGGTATTCGCGCAATGCAACGAGATACATCTTGATTTTAATATTTCATTTTATTCTTTATCTCAGTCGATATTATAGTATGGTCTTATGTGATTTTGAAAAAAACGATGATGTTTTTACTTTTTGAATAAAATATAAATTTGAAGGTATCATAAAAATTTGACAAAAATATATCGATATTAGTATCAAATTAACTATTTAAAATTCCTATCATAGAGGCGGGATCAAATAAAAACCGTCTAATTCTTAGAAACCGTGTAAACTAATTTTGACCAATAGGAAAATTCCTTTTTTTCTTAATTAAATTTAATCATTAAGGGTAGATTTGTCATTTACATTGTTTTCTATTAAATATGGAAGTTATTAATAAATCTTAATTAAGGTAACATAATAAAAGAAATTTTATAAATGGTAATATTTAAATGTTTATTTAAATTAGAATTTTAAAATTTGAATATTGTTATTTAGTTTCTCGATTCATTAGTGGTAATAATATGAAAATCGAAAATTATTATATTCATTAATCCATGAAATTAGTAACAGATCCAAACAAAGATTCATGAACTGGTAAAAATATAATCAGATGTGAAACTGATTCATGTTAGATTTGTTCATGAAAACGTTCATTGAGGAGCTTGTTTTATGAAACGTATGCAGACTGGTTCGTGAAAACGTTCATTGAGGAGCTTGTTTTATGAAACTTTTGGGGATGAACTAGTTGCGTAATATAATATTCTTGCATAATCTTGTTTTCTTATCAACAATTATTGATGAAATTGTTTCATTTTTTTGGATGATTTTGTTCACTTAATGGTTAACAAAGCATGTAATGGTAAATGTATTGACTCTATGAAACGTGTTCATATTAAAAGAAATTGGCCGATGAAATGAGTGCATGAAGAAAGTGAAACCATTTCATAATTGATAAGAAAATGTTGTGTAATTAGCAAACAGTGAAACAATTTCATTATTACGATGAAACAGATCCATCTACCAATAACATGAAAATGACAAATGTCTCATCAGGCATTACGTTGATTAGTGTATTGATGAAACCGTGAAACCATTTCGGTCATACAACTGTGAAACCATTTCGATGAAATGGGTGCATAACGACAGAGAAACCATCTCATAATTGTTAAGAACATGTTGTTTAATTAGCAAATAGTGAAACCATTTCATAATTAGATTGAAACGGATTCATCTACCGGAAACTTGAAAATGGCAAATGTCTCATCTAACATTACGTTGATTTGTGTGTTGATGAAACTGTGAAACCATTTCGTTCATGAAATGTAGTATTAATTTTTTTTATATTATTATTCAAAAGGTTTCATTATGTTAAATTGATTATAGTGTGTTTTATTTTTATTGTTGATCTATTTTTAATGATGGATGATTTTTTTTATAATATTTGAACATAAAATTAATATATTATTTAACAAATGATTTTGTTTCATTAATATTACGATATACATGATATGGTTGCCATTAATATTATCACTACCAAAGTTACCATTTTGCCTTTTTTGGGATTATAAAATTATTTTTTATTTTTTATTAATTTCCTAATATAACCTAAACTAATCTTGACCATTGATCAAGAAAATGAATGGATGAGATTGGTTTACATGGTTTACACAAATGAGGACGATTTTCATTTGATCGCTTTCTCTCTCTCTCTCTCTCTCTCTATATATATATATATATACTAGTTGTGTACTCGCGCAATGCAGCGGGAGCTATGAACTTTAACGATTTTGAAGTTCCATTGGTTTTATAAGATAAGATTTAACAATGATATATGTTGCACTTGGTATTTACATATTAATACAATTTGAATAAATAAAAGTTATGGTTCCAATTACAGACTATCGATGAAAAAAATTGTATGACAGTTTAAAATCCAATATATTTAAAATCCAACATATTTAAACGACTCCACAAATGTGTTTGATTTACACCAAAAGCAAATAACCACGAAACTTGAGTTTTAAGATAAACTATCTTTTTGCTCTCTCTCTCCCCTCCTTTCCTCCTCTTTTCTCTTCTTTCTTCTTTTTCTGTCTTCCTCCTTCTTTTCCCTTGGAGTGCCTTGGATTTCTGGTGGTTGAGGTTTGCCTCCCACCCGAGTGCTTCATTGCCTGCTTTTAGTGTTTTGTCTTGATTTGGAGGGGTGTCCCCCCTCCCTATCAAAGGATAAACACTCAAAACCAATAAAGAAAACTACAAATTTGACAGATCATAAGACATGAAAAGACAAAAAAAAGATGGGTTTTAGAATGAAATTTCAACTGCTTACCCTCTTTCTTGTCCAGAAACTCATATTAAGGTTGAATTAATACATGTATATATATATATATATATATTTCAAAAAAACAAACCAAGAACATATTAATTCAAAACATATTATACAGTGCAATTTGGACAGCCTAACTCCAAAATATATAGTATATATATAAATAAATAACTATAAAAGTATAAATCGTAAATATTAAAAATATTTTTTCACAGTATATATAATATATAATAATATAATTAAGTCAAAAACTATTCAATAGTGGACTCATTTCGAATGTATTAACGAGACGATTATAATAGTGTAACTTGTTAAAATAAAAATGTATTTTTTAAACATGTTTTAATTGATATACGATATATTAATTTGATAAAGGTTTAAAATGAAACATTTAAAAGTAAATGACGTAAAGTAAATTAATTAATTAATTATAGGGGTATAAAATGTAAATTTAAAATTATAATTTAAAAAAATGGGTTGTGAGAGGGTGAGTGTATATGAGAGGGTGAGTGTATGTGAGGAGAGGAGAGAGTGAAGAAGTGATATAAAGGGTATCTTGGTCATTTAATATTTTAAGACTTTAAGACTTTTGTTAAATTTGCTTTATAAGATAGTATATATATATATATATATATACTAGAAAAAACCCGTACTTTCAGTGATTTTATATAAGTTTTCATTTTCAAATGTCAAAAACAAGTCCATTTGTTCATGGACAAGCCCGACTCGTTTATTAGGTAGATACAGACAAGTTCTCAAGCACCAAAAAAATATCTTAGACAAGTCTAGCCTTGCCCAAGCCAACGAATACCTCTATCAAAATCCTTCTGGTCACAAAGGTTTACTTGCAATGACTTTAGGTTGTTCGTGGTCATACAATGATTAGTCGGTATCCTGGTCCGGATAATCATATATATATATATATAAACAAAGCTTAGGGTCCAAGGGTCTGTTTGTTAGCATTTCAACTAGCTTAATACGACTCATAGTTTATCTAGCCAGTTTATCTGTTTGATAGTGGCTTAATAATATAGAGAGTGACTTATTCATAAAATATATAAGGGAAATTTTATGCAAAAAATTAAGTTTTTGTTTTCTTTCAAACTTGACCATTTTAATTAAAAAACAAGTTCATTATAATTATGAAAAAAACTATCTAAAACAAAAGTCTTTTCAAATTATATAAACAGATAATATACGTATTTGTCCATCTATACTATATTATAAAGCATTTGAGAAAAGAACTTTTAAAAAACATTTTTTTGCACAAACTACAATTTGTTGATGCATATCACTTAAAAATTAAAATTCAAGATTACAAGTAAATTGTTTGTAAGTATAACTTATTAAAGTTTCATATTTGAATTCGTGTGACTAACTGTAGATAAATATAATCAAATAAAGAATAAACGTCTACTTTTAAATATAAAAAACCTAAAATATAATTAGGATAATTATTGAGTTATAACAAAATATTTAATTATCATTTTTATAAAAAAATATATTAAACCAAAAATAAACTACTTCGTTATTAAATTTAAATTAAACTATTCTAAAAATTAAATTAAAGAAATTACACAAAAAACAAGAACTTTTAAACAATTAAAATTATCGCTTTTTCTTTTGTCTCAGTCAATGTTATAACACGGTT